CCTTCAATTTTGTGCAGATATGGGATATACATTTTTAAAATAAATTGAATAGTTTATTTATTTATTGTCCTATCATGATTAAATGGTCCCCAACCCTATACCCTAGACACCCACCTGAGCGACCCATATACAGTGGCTTACAAAAGTATTCACCCCCTTGGCATTTTTCCTATTTTGTTGCCTTACAACCTGGAATTAAAATGGATTTTTGGGGGGTTTGTATCATTTGATTTAAACAACATGCCTGTATATGCCTACCACTATTGACTAGGCCATTCCAAGACATTTAAATGTTTCCCCTTAAACCACTCGAGTGTTGCTTTAGCAGTATGCTTAGGGTCATTGTCCTGCTGGAAGGTGAACCTCCGTCCCAGTCTCAAATCTCTGGAAGACTGAAACAGGTTTCCCTCACGAATTTTCCTGTATTTAGCACCATCCATCATTCCTTCAATTCTGATCAGTTTCCCAGTCCCTGCCGATGAAAAACATCCCCACTGCATGATGCTGCCACCACCATGCTTCACTGTGGGGATGGTGTTCTCAGGATGATGAGAGGTGTTGGGATTGCGCCAGACATTTTCCTTGATGGCGACAAAGCTCAATTTGAGTCTCATCTGACCAGAAACGTGTTTGCTTATTTTTTTCTTTAAGCAATGGCTTTTTTCTGGCCACTCTTCCGTAAAGCCCAGCTTTGTGGAGTGTATGGCTTAAAGTGGTCCTATGGACAGATACTCCAATCTCCGCTGTGGAGCTTTGCAGCTCTTTCAGTGTTATCTTTGGTCTCTTTGTTGCCTCTCTGATTAATGCCCTCCTTGTCTAGTCCGTGAGTTTTGGTGGGCGGCCATCTCTTGGCAGGTTTGTTGTGGTGCCATATTCTTTCCATTTTTTAATAATGGATTCAATGGTGCTCCGTTGAATGTTCAAAGTGTTGGATATTTTTTTATAACTTAACCCTGATCTGTACTTATAATTAATAATAATAATATAATTACTTCTGTACTTCTCCACAACTTTTTCCCTGACCTGTTTGGAGAGCTCCTTGGTTTTCATGGTGCCGCTTGCTTGGTGGTGTCCATTGCTTAGTGGTTTTGCAGACTCTGGGGCCTTTCTGAACAGGTGTATATGTACTGAGATCATGTGACACTTCAATAATTATGTGATTTCTGAAGGTAATTGGTTGCACCATATCTTATTTATGGGCTTCATAGCAAAGGGGGTGAATACATACGCACACACCACTTTTCCTTTATTTATTTTTATACTTTTTTGAAACAAGTTATTTTTTTCATTTCACTTCACCAATTTGGACTATTTTGTCTGTGTCCATTACATGAAATCAAAATAAACATCAATTTAAATTACAGGTTGTAATGCAACAAAATAGGACAAACGCCAAGGGGGATGAATACTTTTGCAAGGCACTGTACTAAGGAGAAGTCTTTATCTGTATTATATGTCTACTGTAAGTAGCCTATACACAGCCAAATCAGAAAGATGAATACAATCAGAGACCTACTAAAGCAGCACCACCCCCTCAAGATTCTGAGCCTGCCTGGCAGGGTTGGTCCTACAAAGCCAAAGCCTCCTGATGGGAGAGCATACTATACAAGGAAATTGTCAAAGCTGCTAATGAGAACCTTGACGACCTTGTACCTAGCCGGTGGGGATTCCAGTGCTGGCAACACTAGCTGTAGTAACACATGGGGAGGCGGTCACACCCTGGTGGCACAAAATGATCAAAGGTCTGACTGCACAGAGATGTTTGGGAAAATGGTCAAAACGGGGGACCAGCATATGTGTGTATAAGGGGAAGGGGGTGAATCTGATCTCCATCACCTAGGACTTGGTTAATCAAATCTCCCCAATTTTGCCAGCTTTTCCTCAATTTTGCATTCCTTCTCAAACAGCTGCAACTGTACATGCATTTGTAAATCAAGTCCTTTCTTGAGTTGGGCTCAGGTATGGAACAACTGTTGAGCATCTGAGTTTATGGTTGTTTGTGGGGAAAGGGGTTGAGTGGGTATGAGTGTTTGTGTGTGCGTGTGTATGTAGGGGACAATATAGGATGAATCAGAATAATTGTTTGCTAAAATAATAATTGCTTGCCAAAAATTAAATTTTTGTAATGGCAATCCTGGTTAGAGGTAACAATCCTTCGCAAGAACTGCCTACATTATTACAAATATTATTTGTTAATTATGGAAATTAAGAAACACAGGATTTATTTTTTAATAGCTATATATAATGCAAATCGAGGTGAGGGCGATGGAAATGCTTTTGGCGGTTGATCTGCTTCTGTTCTGTGGGTGGCACTGTGTGCTCTTTTCGAAGGATGGGTCCCGGTCTCTCGGGGCCCTGGGATCCGGTGGGATGGGGGTGGTCGGCCGGTCACTGGGTTGACAACCCAACTTGGGATGGGGAGGGGTTTTAGTGGGT